TATGCGCATTAAATAACATGGATACTCTCACGTCTTATTTTTATAGGTCATTTAATAAGTCAAAAACCTAATAAACCTATTATTACAAAACATACCGTTTATAATCAAAATAAGAAAAAACCTACCCATTTACCCCAAATTCACCACAACAATCTTATAAACCGCTCGCTTACTTTTGTCTAATAATCTTAAACCTCTGTGTTAAGTTGTTTGACCGGGAAGTCATATTTGAAATAGAAAAGAAGATTATGCTGATGAAAAAATAATAAAAATAAAAAAAGGCTTACCTCAAATTCACTACAACAATTTTATAAATCGCGGACACGTGTTTAGTTCACTTTTGTGAGTATGTGTCCATTTTGTGGTGAATTTGAGGTACCTTTGTTTTTTATTTTTATTATTTCTACCACCGCACTCTCCTTATCTATTTCAAATACCGTTTGTGATTACAAGTAAAGTTGGTATCTCATTGTGACCTACCCTTCAATATGATCGAAAAGATTTGTTTAAAATTTTACATTTTACGATATTACTATTTTTATTACACCACCATCGTTCTTGCAATTGGGTAATGTTGTAAGATAATATTTAAAATTAGTGTAATTTTAGCTTTCATCAGGCAAGCATGAATCTACGTTTATGAAATTTTCATCGTTATAAAACGTTTCGTTAGAACGAGTTTACATTGTATAATCTAGTTTACATGACTTTTTTCAAATCATTAACCTCTTACATAATTATTATAATATTTATCTTAATAAAATCACAATTACTGCAAGCCTACAGCAAGCCTACAGTAAAGTAAAAAGTGATAGATACCATAATTACTTTATGACTCCTATTAATTTACGAACGATTTAAGAAAACTATATGTACAATAGAAAACGGTTTTCTGAAACTACAATTAAGGAAATCATACTCGTAATTGACTTTTTATTATTATTCATTGTTTCTTTTAATTTGCGGATGAAAAAAAAATATTGCCCAATTTGTGTAGGTTATGTAAAATTTTCGTTTTATGAAACATTCTTTTGTTATACGCTCCATTTAGCTCTTTAAATGTTTACATTTGTGCATAGGAGATATCTCCAGTATCCACTTCCAATTTATTAAAATACGAATAAGAGTTTATGAAAATCTTTATGAAAGACAACTTTGTAAACGGAGATATTTAGAACAGAAAAATGTTAGATAAAGGTGCAAGGTACCTGCAAATAGTACAAGCAAATTCAGAAGCGAACTTAGGGATGTTCTGCCAAACATAGGCGTAACAACGACTTTTTCCTAGAGGGAGACCAAATTGTCAACTCTCAATGTGTGTAAATTATTGTAGATTTAATTTGTTATTTGTTCTTGAATAATTGATATTCTAGGGTGGACCAGGAAGATTCTTCGGTGGGTCTGGCCCACGTGGCCTTTCCCCTTATTACACCAATGTTATTAGATGCAATAATTAAAGAGCGGCATCATCTTTTGGAAAATTCGTGCAAATATCTTGAGCCATTAAATACAGTTTAAAGCTTTCGAAGAGGTGTTTACGCTTTGTTCAAATGATCTTTGACAGCCTTCAGAGAAGCAGGTGATATTTTCATATGGATGTAATTGATAAAGGAAAAAGTAAATATCCGACAAAGAAATGTGTATTTCTTTATTCAGTAAACATTATTATATCTTATCTGCGTATGTCGTGCTTCCAATTAAAATGAAGAAAAGGATTGTAGTCCCCCTCTTGTGCAATGCTTGTGGATATGGCGGATAGCTCTCTTCTACTAGAGTACTCTTAGGAATTGTGGGGTGGTGGACGAGATATATACAAAATATGGAGACAGATGAAAAATGAAAGGTTATTATCTGTGAAATATCGTACTTTCCTCAACACTTGTCTAAAGGTGACTCAAGGAAACCCCACAGCAATATGGATCAGGAAAAATGGACTAGAAAGAATGGTTGTTTCATTACAGTGAATTAATTCGGTGTGGAATTATTTCTTTTTTTTTTTAAACTAAAATACTGGTATGCAAGGGAAGAAAAAGTAGGCAAAGAGTGAATATGACTGATTTTCGGTATCTAGGAAGTCAGACGGAAGGAGTAGTAGGGATATAAAGCAGAGGATAGCGCAGGGTCGTGTCACCTTTAATAAAAAGAAGTCACTTCTATGCTCTCGAACGGTTAATTTAGAAATTCGAAAAAGATTGTTAAACGTGTATGTTTGGAGCGCGGCGCTGTACAGGTGCGAAACATGGACGGTGGGCGCGACGGAAAAGAAAAGGTTAGAAGCGTTCGAAATGGGGTGTTATAGGCGAATGATAAGGATAACGTGGGTAGAAAAGGTTAGAAATGAAGAGGTAGAAAGAATAGGGAAACAGAGCACTCTATGGAAGTTAATAAAAAATAGGCGAGATAGGTTGGTAGGGCACCTTCTTAGGCATGAAGGTCTAGTCAGAGACATATTAGAAGCAGAAACAGGAGTTAGAAGGGGTAGAGGAAACCTAGGTTAGATTACTGTTCGCAAACAGTTAAGAATGTGGGTTGTTCTAGTTTTAGGGAAATGCGAAGTTTAGCTCAGGATAGGAAATGGTGGATGTGCGTCTTCAACCAGTCTTAGGACTGACGACCCTACAATGATGATGATTATGACGGCATTTATCAGGCCAATCAAGCAAGCTTAAGTAATGCCAAACGCCACCGTTATAGAGAGTTTACATTCTATCTTACTTTATGAACATCAACTCACCAACATTGTATTTACAGTTTGGATCTCGTATAAAACATTTTCAATATATCGTACAATTGCTTCAGTTTCACTCATATAATAGAGAATAGTCTTTGGTAAAGAAGATTTGTTTGAATTGGAAAAACTGAGAATGATCGAAAGGTCGAAACATTTGTAAGAGATAATTAAATGTCAGTATGACAGTTTAAACACTATTTATGGAGTTTCATTGAATTTACTATTTGGAATGGTTCAAATTAGGTCTAGGTTTATTTAACACATTGCTTAACTTGCACCCCAATAAAAGTGCTTAATTGTTCATCATTATGAGAACAATTGATTTTACGTGACCGCACTGAAGGTTATTTCATCGATTTCAAACGTCAACCAGGTATACATTAATTACGTTTATCTCCTAGGATTCCTTAAACGGATGACCCTAACCCTGCTAGTTTATAGCAACATACGTATAAAAGGCTTAATTTAGAAATATTTATTCTGTTTGTAACCTTTTGTAGAATTTAATATTATTATATTTCTCAAAGTTAAAAGGAAACAGAAATACGTGGAAATCAATACATACGACAAGTTAGGGTGTGTTTTGCCGGAGGTACCTGCGGCGTGCTGATAAGATCCAAACTTTTAAGCTCAATATACTTGTATTTCTTTAGCTTTTGCTTTAGTTTTTTTGTTCAGATTACAATAGAAATGCTTATAAATACATATTTGTAATTCGAACAATTGTAATTTTTTAATAACCTTCTACCAAGGACATTAACCCTAAAAGACAATGTGCGATTAAAAATTAGTATAGTGTCGTCATTTAAAGACACTCGTAATAACCGCATATATGTGTTAACAAGTTACAATGGAGGAGACGTCAAATTAAACGCTTAAATGCAATGTACAAAACAACGAATGTTTAATAAGTTATTTAACGTTCAAAATAAAAAAAAATTTTATTTTTCATATCCGAAATTTGAGTTATTATAATTCGATAACAGGTTTTGAAAGGAAATATCAAGCTCTACAAAAAGTCTGTTGTGCATTCAGAAGATATCAAAATCCAAGTATGTTGTACAAATAAAATTTAATAACTACAGAAATACATTAAGGACAGTACAACTGTAGGGATAGATATACAGGGGCAAAAGATTAGTATGCATAGATTTGTAGATGATATAGCAGTTTTAGCATCTAGCAAGAAGGAGTTACAGATAGCAGAAAAATGCTGGTATGCAAGGGAAAAAAAATGTAGGGAAAGAGCTAATATAAAGATAGGAGACGAAAAATTAGTGGCCGATTTTAGGTACCTAGAAAGTCAGATAAATCAGGACGGAAAGAGTAGTAGGGATATAAAGCAGATAGCGCAGGGTCGAGTCGCCTTCAATAAAAAAAAGTCACTTCTATGCTCGCGAACGGTTAATTTAAAAATTGAAAAAAGATTGTTGAAGATGTATGTTTGGAGCACGGCGCTGTACGGGTGCGAAACTTGGACAGTGGACGCGGCAGAAAAGAAAAGGTTAGAAGCGTTCGAAATGTGGTGTTATAGGCGGATGATGAGGATATCGTGGGTAGAAAAGGTTAGAAATGAAGAGGTATTGGAAAGAATAGGAGAACAGAGGTCTCTATGGAAGTCAATAAGAAATAGCCGAGATAGGTTAGTAGGACACCTTCTCAGCTATAAAGGTCTAGTCAGACATATTAAAGGCAGAAACGAAAGTTAAGAGGGGTATAGGTAAACCTAGATTACATTACTGTTCGTAAATAGTTAAGGACATGGATTGTTTTAGTTTTAGGGAATTGCGAAGATTAGCTAAGGATAGGAAATAGTGGAGCTGCGTATCCAACCAGTCTTAAGACTTAAGTCGACCTTATGATGATGACAGAAATATTCAAATTTATGACCGTATAAGGATTTCTGTTTTCGTTTTGAGATACGGAACCTTAAAATTAGAATTAAGAATTCGAAATTTCATAGATGCAGCTAAAGATTAAAATGTCTAATCAATTTATTACATCTTGTGAAAAACGCTTAACAATTACGATACATTATTGCACAAATTCGTTCTCGAGCTTGTTTTATAGAAATTCCAGACGTTGTTGGAGCGCGTGTACGAATAAGTCCGAGTCTTATCCGACATCATATCTCGTACCGCAAATTGCGACAAGTGTTGACAATAAATGAGGATCATACACATAAGTAGAAATAATAAGGAAGGATACAAACTGGCAATACGACAGCACCTCGCTGCTGATCAACTACCTAAAATACTACAATGTATAATGCCGTGGCAAGAGCAAGTGGGGCAACAACACTTGCAGCAACAATAATAACAACAACTAGAGATTTGACTGGCCTCAGTTCTCCACAGTACATCCACTGCTTTCATACTGTGCTGTTTCCTTCAGCCTGCAGTCACTTCTTTTCTGTTATCGTGGTAGACTGCTGAAGACTGAAGAAGTGTTTTTCGGTTCGGTCGTGTGGCAGTCTGACTTTCGATCGTCTTCATTTGTCTGTCGTTCAACAATCGTCTATCAGCACTAGGAATTGTTACATTACATTACCTGGTCGAATTTTTCGGGGACTTTTTTCGTGAATTCGGTCGTGGTAGTCCCATGAGGGAAGAATAGCCTTCACCCTTGAAGTACATACATTAGTAACTTCAGTTGTGCTTACTAAATAAATCGGTACGGTACGGTGTTCTCGAAGGGACAAACTTTTCGCATTTCGAAAATGTTTTCGAAAATTAGGTGACAAGTTCTTTAAATAGTTTCAAGTGTTCATATTTTCAACGAAATTCGATTTCAGTGAGTGTGGTTCCTAGTCATCTGTGATTTATTATTGTCAAAATGAAGGTAATATTCCTTAATGATATCTTTTTAAAATATTCTTGCGATAACCTTTACATATTTGGTTAGAAATCGATTTTTAATAAACTATTGATTACTTATAGGAAATACAATTGAAATTTATTTACACGTTAAATAGATTTCAAGCTAATAAATTGATATAAAACTGTGAAAAGTATTAATTAAACCAAATTGTACCATAACGTTTTACTTCTGGTAGAAAATTCTGTGAATTTTAGGATACTAAATGACTGAAACTGCTTTTTTTTATAAATTTTCATATCTTTTTTTATCAAAGATTTACCTACATCCTGAATTACTTACGCGGAATTCTTAATATTGATCGTCTACATTTAAACTGAAACGTTTGAGTGGATTTGTGATGAAATACTTTTCTCATTTTCTATGTACATATATGCTCGGTCGTTTATCATTGTTTGAAGATTTGGGGGCTAGCTGTATTTACCTATTTTAGATGAAAAATTTTTCAAAACATATTATGCAACAAAGTCTAGATTTTGTTTAGAGCTTTTTTGTTTTCCTATCGGTTATGCAGACAAAAAGCTCATCGAAGGAATGGAGCTACAATTTTTACGTTCTTGTGATGTTGGAACTGCATACGAGTACTTGTTCTTCCCGTTGGAGGTCGTCTGCAACTTCCTTTTTATTATCAAGAATTTGTTTTATGAATAATTAATCTTTTTGTTAATTACTAATTAATTACTGTATCTACTATAGAAAATCTCTTTCGCGGTTGCTAGCTTGTTTATTTTAGTTTATTATTAATTCTGACAATAATCTACTTACTTAATGATAAAATTTCAGGTATTGCGTTATAATCAAATTAATAATGATCGATGTAATTATGGTTTTCCCATTATGGTTTTTTTTTGTTATAAAATATCTGAGAGTAAATGCTTGATATTTCACAATTGATGAAGAAAATCGAAACAATGAGAGCAGTTGTTATAGAAAATACCTGAGCATATTACGACCATAATGAGATATAAATTAGTTAGATATTCCATCAATATAATGTAACTGCATTTAGTGGAGTTCAACAAATCTAGAAACCTTAGATAATTTGTACAGTAATAATTAATCTATCAGCATGCTATTAACATTCCTAATAATACTTTCTGAGTATTAATAAACACTGGTAAATTAGATTTTCAGTGACACATCAAAATGTAATATTATAATTCGTTACAAAAACAAAGTTACAATTTTTGTAAGGGTCATGGATTATACTATTCAAATTATATTATTCAGAACTGAATATATATATACCTAATAAGGAGATGTGATAATACAGTACGTATAAAGTCGTATTTTTGATTACTTTTTGGGTACAAATAAAAAACTTATTTTGAAATTTAATGAATGCATTACATAGTCAGATTCATTTAACGCTTCGCTTACTGTCCTGTATTTTTATTAATTGTAAGGTGTATTAAAATTCGGATTTTTTGGGTCTGTATAATTTAAGGGTCGATTCGCAAACCCAAACCACTCTATAGGAATCTCGAACATTATAGATTTCCGATATTTTTTAGAACGAACGATTGAAATACATGTATGAAGTTGTTCAACATGATAGTATGTTTAAAAATAAGTTAATATCTTTGTACACGCAGTAACACTTCAAAAGTCTGAAAGTTGGTTGAATAAACTGAAATATTAGAAAAACATATAGTTGTATAATCATTTGAACGCCACTCTGGAAAGAACTACATAATATACGGAAATACCTTACTTTAGTGCCAGAACCCAGCTACACCACTCAAGCATAATCGTTCTCGAACGTTCTAGATTCTTTAGGTTCATTTCACTCTGTAGGATTTTGTATGAGGACAATACTAGATATTCGAGAGCGTTCTAGCTCTGATAGAAACATTAAAAAAGACATTCTAGTATAGTCTCACCTATTGCAAGGTGGTGTTTTGTAGCAGATGGTTGACCTGTTTTGTTCTCTTTAGCACATTTTCCTTAGGAGCAATCCTAGATATTCGAGAACATTCCAGCTAAAGAAAGTACTAGAAACGATCAACAACATCTTGGTATAGTCTCACTTATTCCAATTATTCAACATTTTTTAGAACACACTGGTTGAAATATGTGAAATTGCCCTAACTTACTGTCAGAAGTCAACCCCACCATTAAAATATGTATAATGGTCTTCGAGTATTCTATTCTAGAACATTGTGCTTGAGGACAATACTAAATATTCGAGAACATTCTAGCTCTGCTAACGACGTTCAATGGCATTCTAGTATAGTCTCACATTTCCTAAGGTGGTGCTTGGTAGGCGGTGGTCGACCTGTTCAGTTCTTTCTAGAACATTTTCCTTTAGGACAATCTTAGATATTCGAGAACATTCCAGCTAAGGAAAGCACTAGAAACGATCACGAACATCTTGGTATAGTCTCACTTATTCCAAATATTCAATATTTTTTAGAACGCTGGTCAAAATATGTGAAAATGCCCTACTGTAGTATCAGGACTGAACCCCACCACTAAAATATGCATAATGGTCCTCGAGTATTCTGTTCTAGAACATTCTGCTTGAAGACAATAATAGATATTCGAAAACATTTTTAGCTAAGGACAATGCTAGAAACAATCAGGAACAATATTTAAGGTGGTGCTTGGTAGCCGGTTGTGGACCTGTTCAGTTCTCTCTAGAACATTCTAGTTATGAGCAGTTCTAAATATTCGAGAACATTCTAGCTCTGCTAGCGACCGTTAAGAGCATTCTAATATAGTCTTATATTTACTAAGGTGGTGCTTGGTAGCCGGTGGTAAATCTGTCTAATTCTCGTTAGAACATTTTCTTTAAGGACAATCGTAGATATTCGAGAACATTTAATCTAAGGAAAGTATATATATATAAATGTTCATAAACATTTTAGTACAGTCTTACTTATTCCAATTATTCACCATCTTTTAGAACATTTTTCCAAAATATGTATAATGGTCCTCGAGCATTCTAGAACGTTCTCAGCATTTCTAGAACATTCTGCTTGAAAACCCGTTCAATTCTCTCTAGAACATTCTAGTTGTGAGCAATCCTAAATATTCGAGAACATTCTAGCTCTCCTAACGACGTTCAAGAGCATTCTAGTATAGTCTCATATTTTCTAAGGTGGTGTTTGGCAGCCGGTTGTCGACCTGTCCAGTTCTGCCTAGAACATTTTCTTTGAGGACGGTCCTGGATATTCGAGAACATTCTAACTAAGGAAAGTACTCGAAACGTTCAAGAACATTTTGATATAGTCTAACTTGTTCCAATTATTCAACATTTTTTAGAACATTTTTCTAAAATATGTACAATGATCCTCGAGTATTCTAGAACGTTCTCTGTATTTCATTTGAGCAATCCTAAATGTTCGAGAATATTTTAGCTTTGTTAGATGCATTCAAGAGCATTCTGGTATAGTCTCGCTTATTCTAAAGTGGTGTTTGACAGTTGGCGGTCGACTCTTCAAACTGAAGAAATTTCGAAAATTATAGTAGATTTCAAACACCTCTTAAAACATATTGGTCAAAATATAAAGATAAAAATTAAAGAAAAGTTAATCACCGAAGAAATTTGTCTTGCATGCTTATAATCTTTGGACATTTATATAAATAAATTTGCTTGGGTCTGATAGTTGAGTACAAAGATCCATTACATTAGCTTGTCACTTTAAGAAAAAAAAAAAGAAAAACAACTGACTGTTGCATTAGAAAGTACCATATGACAATCTGGCAGATGAAATGATTATTGTTAGTTAATATTTCAAAACAAATTTTTCGCTGTGTCACAAAAAGAAACTTTCTTTATGTTTACCTTTTTAAAGTTAATGTGACACGTCCTCGTACACATGGACGTGTCTGCGTGAGTGTCTGATGTGAATGTTCGCGTGTCTGCCTGCAATTTTCTATTTTACTCACGGTAAATCCGAAATCGTTTGACCCACTACGGACTTTATAAGTAGTAATGCAGCAAGTTGTTCTGATAATCCTCGAGAAACTTCCTGTAGATACCGGTTCGAGTTCGAATACGTCCACCACTTTTCAACAAAATTCATGATGCGTCTTGAACAAGTTCATACGTTGATAGAAATGCGAATGTACGTTAAGTATATTCCAAATTCGAGAGTTTTTACTGTAAGAAAGGTAAAGAACGATCGAGAAACGTTAATTGTGACCCAATTATTTAATGATGTCATTACAAGCAGAAAAAGATCAAGTGAAATTGTAAATTCAGCTGCTCCAATATAACCTTACCTACCCTACCTATTCTAAAATTTCAAAAAAAATCATTTCAGAGCAAAAAAAATTGAAACGATATATTTTTAGTTCATAGTTTTTAGCCCCAAGTCTTTTTTTAAGTCCCATATCTTTTAATGCTTAAAGCTGGATAGACAGTAAGCAGTCCTGGAATTTATTCCATCACACCGTATTAGATAGGTGGCAACAGATTAAATTTAACATTAACAACAAAAATATTATAGATCTCACATTGTTAAAAGGACTTAATCCAGTTTTGGAATAATGTAATCCTTCAGTAACAATACGTTTTGATAAGTCAGCACTTTTGAGACCTTCGGAAATTTTCTTACAAAATAACCGGTAGTTTTCTGGAACTTCAAAGAAATCGTTTATCTAATCTAGGTATTTATTTTTACTTTTTAATAATTCACTTTCTTTGTAAAGGAAGAATCTGTAATCCTAACAAACCACTCGCTATACAATTTTATTAGAAGTATTTTGAATAGTGATGAGGAAAATTAGTCCTAGTCTGACACTAGCAACTTCAAAATATTCTTTTCTTGAAACAAAACGTTTTTAGTACTTGAAATTTTCAGATTGCTTTGCTTTGATTTTAACACTAAATAGAAGATTCTGCAGATAGATTAAAAGCATAAATAGGAGTAAAAAGGGGGCAGGGAGGTTGATCTCAAGTAGTTAGAGAGTTGGGACGGAAATGCGAAGATTGATTCAAAATAAGCAGTAGTGCA